GAGTGGCTCAAGAAGAAGCACATTAAGGTCCTGGAGTGGCCAAGCCAGTCTCCAGACTTTAATCCCATAGAAAATCTGTGGAGGGAGCTGAAGGTTCGATTTGCCAAACGTCAGCGTCGAAACCTTAATGACTTGGAGAAGATCTGCAAAGAGGAGTGGGACAAAATCTCTCCTGAGACGTGTGCAAACCTGGTGGCCAACTACAAGAAATGTCTGACCTCTATGATTGTCAACAAGGGTTTTGCCACCAAGTACTAAGTCATGTTTTGCAGAGGGGTCAAATACTTATTTCCCTCATAAAAATGCTAATCAATTTATAACATTTTTTACATGCGTTTTTCTGGATTTTTTTAATTGTTATTCTGTCTCTCACTGTTCAAATAAACCTACCATTAAAATTATAGACTGATCATTTCTTTGTCAGTGGGCAAACGTACAAAATCAGCAGGGGATCAAATACTTTTTTTCCCTCACTGTATGTTTCCTTGAGCCACTGCTAAACCACTATTCGCTCGCGAATCAACACATAGTTCTGCTAAAAGCGAGTGCACCATCTGGTTTTAAAAGGGATTCGCTATTTATCACTGCAACAGTGCGTTTGTTTCACAGAGCTCGCCGTTCTTCACCGCACCGTTGACACGCTCCCCCCCCCACACCCCGCTCATCATTCAGTTTATCTGACCGGGGAAATTCGACAGCAGCTGCCACCATTCACAATTGTGCGTAAGCGGCATCTACGGTTACCTGGGAACGATACCTCTCTCTGACTTTCTCTTGTCGCCAAGTAAACGAAAACCGAACGTTATGAATCATACAACTCACCATGAATGTGCATGAGCCCGGTTTGCAAAGGGATACCCTCCCCACCCCGATTGCCTTCGCGTCCTAATCCACTCCTCCCCCCCTCCCTCGCCCCCAGAGCCACCGAGCTGAGAATATTACCTGGACTGTGCTGACGAGTCCTAACTAGGATGAAACCGGTGCCACAGCTGTCTATCACTGCACCGCTGCTGGTGTCAGTCGGGTACATTTGCTCGGTCGGTCACGTGCTCAAATGTATTTCGATGGTGATTGAATGCAAGAGGACTACACGATGCACTTCTTCAGGAAATGCTGATTGGGTTTTGCGTACATACCATGGCCGTGTGCTGTTCGCACGTTTCCTTGTCTCATTCGCACCTGTACTTTCGTCGCCTGGTGGAGACGTTTTTTGGAGTGGAAATGAAAGGCATCGCCGCATCCAATGTAATTCTACAGCCGTAATCCCAAGATTCCGCTGGAGGCTTTATTCAACGTCACAGCATCTGTGACGACACCGTCGCCTTGCTAATCGCCATCAAGAATCGACAACAATCCTGGAAATCGATGCAGAAATTGTCGTGGCAATTGAGAGCACGCGACCTCGTGCTGACTGTGCAATGGCCAACCCTTCTTCCACTCTGCACATGCTCAAGACGCGTTGCAACCCCCTCCTTCCTGATCGCGTCTGCAACGCAAAGCCGCCCCGCTTGATTGTCGACTTCTCTGACTTGCCTCTCCAACCATGCCGTGCAATTATTGGCGTTCTCCGCATATACCTGTACTTGGAAACCAACAATAGCCTATTTGTTTTTTAAAGCACCTTTCCATATTGAAGTATCTCTCAAAGCGCTGTGAATAAAAACAAAAATTAAACTGCACTCGTAAGTTTTGGTTACTCTCCTTTTAAAAACCATCTGGCCGTTCATTAATAGAAGAGACTCGATGTGTATTGGGGCCAGATGAGCACTTGAATTAATCTGGAGCATTAAAATTTAAAGAGGCGTGTCTATTCAGGAAAGTGCAGACTAATAGCAATTGTCCCTGATGCCCCCCTCTCCCCCATCACTATGCATGAGTTTTCTCCGCGTGCTCCAGTTTCCTCTGAAATACGAATACATTGGCGGAAAACATCTTAATATGTACACGGCCGTAAAGCTTGGGCAATTGTTGGCAACGTCGGCTCGCCGCCCGGCTGCTGCCTTTCCCGCTTGTTGGCGGTTCCTCGGCGGTTGCGCAATGTAATTTGCACGAAAGACGACGCTATATATATAGAACTGAACGTTATTATTTCTATTCATGTTTTGCGGGAGGGTGGTGGGAGGCTTCAAGAGGAATTTGAACTGCGCACAGCTGGAACGTGAACAACCCGCGGGTCGCCCGCGACTCTCCATCAATTATGCAGAGCTCCACGCCTGTTCCAGGACGATGGCGAAGCGCCAGTTCGAACAATGGGGCTGGCTGTGTGGAAAAATGGCGTGGCTATTTAACGAGTGGCGGAGATGCCCCGGTCAAAATTGCACGAGCTTACGAGGCGTGGGTTGACTTTGTGCAGCATCATCATCATCATCGTCGTCACCATCATTACATATGGGCATTATCTTTATTATCGACATCACTATCGTTATCGTCGTCATTATCAAATGGATGATTTTTGGAATCGTGCCATCGTAATTATCACCCAGCTGATCACCACTATCATTGTCCTAAAATACTCTTTTTTTATTGTTATCATCACCAAAGTCAAAGATCCCCCGTATAGCCTTAACAGACTGTAGGGGCAAGTGCTGCTAGCGAGCACCTATGAAGGCCGGAACGGTACACGAGGGGGTGGGTGGCCAGCACCACGTCCGACCGCCTTTGTCTCCCCAGTGGCGATGTTTACACACCGCACCAGGTACTCATTTGAGGCTGAGTCGACCTGAGGCCCAGGATCGGTTCAAATAATCGTCACTGGTGTTGGCCGTGAACAGGAATCGAACCCGGGTCGCCGGGTTCATAGTGCAGCGCGCTAACTGCTACACTACCGCTCATCCTCACCATCACCACCAACATAAGCATCAACCATCTGCACAATCAACAATCCTTAGCATTATCATCTTAGCCTTTTTCACCACTTTCACCATCATCACCAAAACCTTTATTGTCTATCTGATATCAATAACATGAGCCCCACTTTGTTGAAAGTCAGCATTGTTCTAATGGATAGACTGCTTTTTACCATAGAAATGTGGAATTTCCACCCACATTCAGATTATACCTGAATCATTCACAAATGTTTATACTGATTTTTTTATATATGCTTTTAAATTACAAGTGTAAATTAGGACCAGTTTGGAGAAGTGTTATATGCTGTTGACAACATTCAATCTGGCATAAATAATATATCAGCGTTGACTGTCGCTGGCATTCTTTAGCGTTGCCTTGAGGGTTCTTCACGCGATTGTCCATAACATTCCAGCAGAGCAGTTGGTCGCCTGAGCGAGTGGGACGATTTGTGTCCGCGTTTAATACACTTTTACAATTTCCTTTCGGTTTTTTGTACTTAAAGGAAACGTCACGGGGTTTTATTTTTTTTATGTGCACGCAGTCACTGGTGACCGGACTGAGACCCGTCAACCCACTACACCTGAGAACACCGTTTAATCACACGTGGCGGAGACCTGGACATTGCCTGTTTACATATTAGTAAAACAGTCACCCTTTATTGGTTTAAAATTTCCATAACTTAATTGTAATTGTGCTGTGGTCAGTCTAAAACTAATGTGCCCGAGCTGACTCGTACTACAGGGAATGTTTTATTAAACCTTGATTTATATTTGTGCGGTATTTATTTTTATTTACCTGTAACACGGTTGCTTTTGGCTCAGATTTCTATTTGCTTCATCTCTGTATTTTATATTACTTATTTTGCTTTTGGGATTTCGGTGATCAAGGCCACTCTTGAAAATCCTCATCGCTTGAGTCCTGTATGTGTGTACGTTTAACTTCTTTTTCACGGTACGTTGCCAACCGTGATGACAAAACAAAATTAGTTTAACACGTAGGCTTTCGCGACCAATATTATTCATAATAAAGGTATCTTGCACTAAAGACGAATTACCTAAATTATCAACAGAAGGTGTATATCGGATTAATTGTTTATGTGGCAGATGCTATATTGGACAGACGGGACGTAACATCAGCATGACTAAAAGAACACCAAAGAAATATTAAATTATCTCAAACACAACTGTCGGCAGTGGCAGAACATGCTTGTCAACAAGGACACTCAATTGATTTTGATGACGTTGAAGTGTTGTGTAAAACTAATTATTACTGGCAAAGACTAATTAGAGAATCCATTGAAATTGAGAGAAACAGAAATCACTTCAATTGTTCTGATAGCTATAGGCTTAGTGCGGCTTGGAAGCGTATTATTAAATAATACATATTACAATTCCTTATAGGGGAAACACATATTAATTAACGGATTACTAATGTAGCATATAATCACAATAACACACATTACAACTAATTACTAATCTACAACTCATTACTAATCATAACCATTGACTGATTACCAATCGATTATATAATTACAATACCCCCCTCCGCCTCAAATCACTGCACCTGAAATGAGTTAAATGATGACGTCACCCTGCTGCTCTATTTAAGACCGAGAGCAAGTGAGGGCTTTACCATTCTGGCGAATTGCCCGATGATGCTGGATGTCATTACCAGCGAAACGTCGTATTCAAACTGTAAATGTTGTGGATTCACTCTTCAACACACTGGTGGGCTAAAGTAGTGAACTAATTGTCTTTTGTCAACGTGACACTTTATTTTGCTGATTGGCCGTGTCGGGTGGTGGAGGGTTACGACACATTTATAAATAACGCGATCTAACCCAAAAACCTTTATTATGAAAAACAAAATTAACTCGACACTTGAAGCCAGGATCTCAGTAGTTTGACTCGGTATGTCTGAAATGGGCCATTATGAACCCTCCGAGGCATCCAGCCACGTCTGCTGAATCAATCAGCATCCAGTCATATAATTTGCTTGTTTATTGAAATGGCAAAAAATCCTAACGCAGGACCCTCATGAAAATGTATTGAGACTTGGTGTGGCTTTCCTGGGTAAGTACATGTTATTACTTGAATGAATATTCCTAACACTGTTATCCTTAACTTGCGCGTCTGTGCTCATTCTCCTGCCAGGTTCATGAACAGGCGAGCCCCTGCGAAAGAGCGTTACCGGCCGACAGATTACGAGCATGCAGCGAACTGCGTGACACATGCCGTACGTATGGAGCTCTGGACACAACGCGGCCTCACTGCCCAGCAACAAACGAAATGTCTCGTGTCCAATGTTAAAATCCATTTTGAAAGTGAACTCCGCTTTGAAAAATAATTGCTTTTGACCTGGGGCAATGACGAACCGAGTAGACCCACAGCCGGGACGTTCAAACCACCTCGGTCGCGTTAGTGATTCGAGTGCTCTAGGTACTGCGCCACTCAGCCAGGCGTAACATCCGCACTCGCAAACCACGAGTCTCGACGCTCTGTTACAGGTGGGTCCCGCTATTGGGATCTGTGGCCAGTTCCACGAATGACCGACGGTTTGTTGTATACGCAGGCTCACCCGTTGACAGTTACCCCGCTAAAATAACGAGGAGCTGAAGAGATAACGGCATTGTGATTCAAAAGCCTCCCACACGGCTCGCACCAATCGGAAACAGCTCGTTAAATGCTCGGGCCACACTCCCCTGATAACAATTTGTCCAGCACTGCCGGTGCAGTCCTGTGTGTGCACCCACCTGTCGAGAAGCTGTCACGAGCTTCATGAGCAACCAGTGGGGGTGTCGACAAATGGATCGTCCTGCTGAACAACCTTGGCGAGCGCTGCGGTTAGAGTGCTCGACTCGCCATCGGTAGTCTACGGGTTCCGATCACGGCCGTAGGTTCGACTCGACCCATCGTGTGGACGGGATGGACAAAACGCAATAGAACACCGCCCTGCGCTGGTAGTCTACCCGGGGTCGATAGAGAAGACTGGCCCGCTGCCGCAGCAACGTGGAATTTGAACCACTGGCTAAAGGTTTGCCGATACGGATGCGTTCCGGTGCACTGCCCCATTTTGAGCAGAAGGTCGCTTCCACGATTTTGACTCCCGAGTATTGTCGTTTTTGCTTCGGCGAGCAATAATTCATTTCCCACCCAAAACCCACGAGCCACAGCGGATGTTCTGTTGGCTCAGTGCTGCCAATTGAGTGCATCGAGTGCACAGCTTGAATGGTCGGCCGTGAAGATTTCTTTGTGTACACAATTTGTGCGACAGTGCCCATGGTAGGCCAACTTTTCTCCCTCCCTGCTCAGTATTACATTTTTTTTTTATTTGACCAGGTAAATCCCACTGAGCTATACAGAGACTCCACTACTTACGAACTAGTTAGGTTCCAGAGTTCTGCTCATACGTCGATTTGGTCGTCAGTCCACCTTGACTCCTGTCGATTTCAAACATGTTGTATGGCATGTACACAATCCACGGGGAATGGCTTTAACAGTTGTATAATCTCCTGTAGATGCCACTGGTTCTTCATGTTCTGCAGATGTAGATGCCACTGGTTTTTCATGTTCTATAGATGTAGATGCCACTGGTTCTTCATGTGGCATCTACATGGCATACGGACAGGTTTGTTCGTATCTCTGAAAGTTCGTAAGTCGAATGTTCGTGAGTAGAGGAGTCTCTATATAGCTGTTTTTTCAAAAGCGTTCTGGCCGTCAATGATAGCTCAATAAAGGTGCTTATCATGTGGGTAAGTATAGCAACCGAATGTTCTAAACGCACGTTGATTCTACATGTGGAGGGAAAACCCGGAGGACCCGGAGAAAAATCCATGCGACCACGGGGGGAGAACAAGCAAACTCCAAGTATACAGGCCTCGGAGTCAGAATCGATCCCACGACTTGCTGTATACCAGGCAAGGTGGTTAACATATCGTCACCCGGGCACGCTATTTGGGTCACTCAGCACACAGACAGCACCCTACATGCAGGCACATCTGAAATGAGTGGTGGGGAATCACAGCCAGTCATGTGTTTTACAGATTGTTTTTTTATTCATACCCAGGACATATAGGGATTCATTACAAATTAATTGAGCGACTCAAGTAGATGTTAACACGAAACATAAAATAATCGTGAGTCTTGTTGTGGAGAATGGAAGCAACAAAATAGCTAAGCAGACACTTCACTTCCGTACCATACCTCTCCCCCCCCCCACTACGTGAAGAAAAACATCTTGTTACACGTCCCATCAGCCACACAGCACCCTGGGAAGTGCATCATGTCAGGGGCATTGGTTCAATGTAAGCAAACTCTGAACCGGTTTTGACATCTGCTGTCAAAACAGACTTGCTTGAGCCAATGCCCTTGAGCTTCCAGATTGCTTATTACATGGACATGTGGCAGCTCACTGGCATTGGTGCAGGCGAGTCGAGATTGTAATAGTGTTCTAAAGTGGATAGAGATAAAAACATTTCTTCAAGCTATGTATAAAAAAAATCTATCACACCCCCTGTGTTTTTATTTTTATTTGTGCCCCATTAAAACAAATACAGCCCAGAGGTTGATTGGTTTCACTCAAAGGGCAGGATCAGTCGAAGGTTCTGTAATAGCTTCAAGTCGTGTGGTGGGCACCGACATTTATACGATCCCCATCGCTGGTGAACAAGCGTAACTTGTCTCCGACGGACACGAAAAGCCAATAGATAGTGGCCGAATCAAGTCGGGTGACGAGCACGTCTGGCGATTGTGCCATTCTCACAGCGCCAGGCTATCGCTCGTGGAGACCCCACGCCTTACAGACACTTGTTTACGCAAGAGCGCAGAAGCGTGGTCACCACATCTACGCCTCTATATGAGGAACAGGTGGACTCCTCCACAAATCTGTCTGTCGCCTGATGAAGCTAGTTGTAATTACTGGCGAAACGTCGTACTCGGATTGTAAATGTTGTGGCTTGGCTCTCCAACACACCGGTGTGCTGTACTAGTGACGCATTGGCCACGTTCTGTTTACGTGACAACCCTTACTAGTTGGCTGTGTCGGGTGGTGCGGGGTTTAACGACACATTTATATATTTACGCGATCTAACCCAAAAAAAACCTCTATTATGGATGATATTGGTCACGAAAGCCTGCTACGTTGTGGGGGGGGGGGGGTGGGGGGGGGGGGGGGGGGGGGGGGGGGGGGGGGGGGTGGGGGGAGGCGATGTTACGATGTCGTTTAACCATAGGAAGTACATTTGTAGGGCGATGTTTCGACGTCTGGCAAATTCGGGGACCTCGCCACCGGCATCCTCCTCCGGGCCCTCCTCATCTGACGTCCGCCGTGAGAAGCAGACGGTCCGCGTGTTGGCTGGTGAACGCATCCACAGCGTTAACCAGGGTGGCCGTTCGCCCCCGCATACCTCTGCAACAAACGACAAGGACGCTACCACACGACCTTTCTTGACATGATGTATATGTGTGTAAAGAGGTTGATCCGTATCTGTATACCATTTATACAGCGTGGAGAGAGGATCTGTCACCTCCGATTAGTGCCGTTGGCTACGTATGGCACGACAGAAGTTCAACGTGCATACATACTGTTAGTATATTACAAAGAAAATCGAGATCTCTGTTTTGCTCTCGCCCCTTTAGAAGTGGTGCGTTCCGCGTTCTACGGGCGAGCGAGCGAGAGAGAGCGGCGATTGGCAGACACGAGGGGGTGATTCGTGCTCCGTGACTGCTGCCGTTGTTTTCCCTGCGCATTAATTCAGCCGTTTGTGTGTGGTGGACAAAGGAGGCGGTGGTGGGGGGGGGGGCAGGAGAGAGAATTCTTTTACGGGGTAAAGGGGGCGGGCGGGGGGGCGACGTGATGGGAAAGCAGCGGCCTCGGCAAACTCTGGCTTCAAAAGCCATCGCCCACTCAGCTCCCACCACCGCCACCAAATGCATTGAGCAAAGTTGATGACTGTGCTCAGCCCAGCGGTGGTCAATAGATCGTGAACAATACGCGTACAGTCTGTCCTTTGGCTATTGCGTGCGTGCGTCTGTCTGTGTGTGCATTTACGTGTTTGCGTGTTTTGTGTGTGTGTGTTTATGTATGCATGTGCTGCACTACGGACCTGGCGTCCTGAGTTCGATTCCCGCTCACGGCCAACAGCGGTAACAATTATCTGAACCGCTCCTGGGCCTCCCCTAGGTCTACTCAGCCTCAAATGAGTATCTGGTACAGTGTGTAAACATCGGGCGTGCTGCTGGCCAGACCAACCCCCTTGTGTGCCATGCCAGCGTTCATAGGTGCTCGCTAACAGCACTTGCCCCAACAGTCTGTTAAGGCTATACATGTGATATTTTTCGATTTAAAGCTTTCGTGACTGCAAGGATTCATCTTCTTGGTTCTTTCGGTAAAGTCACGTAGAATGAGAATAAAACAATAAAACAAAATAAGACAATAAAATTCTCACGACGTTTCGGCCACAACACCAGCAGCCTTCTTCAGGTGAAGGAACAGAACTGTCGGGACGACAGCGCTTCATTGTCCCGACAGTTCTGTTCCTTCACCTGAAGAAGGCTACTTGTGTTGTGGCCGAAACGTCGTGAGAATTTTATTGTCTTATTTTGTTTTATTGTTTTATTCTCATTCTACGTGACTTCACCGAAAGAACCAAGAACGTGATATTTGTCTTTGTTTTGTATGTGTGTGTGTGTGTCCTCAGATGAACATCTGTTTGGCTAATTTAGCTAGAGTCATTAGCCCGAGTGGATGGCTACCCAGCTGACAATTAAAGGCACTATTGAACAACAATATATAAATACACATGCCATTGAAGACACTATGAACATGTTTAAAGATTCACTCACCTACCCAATAAATCACCAAACCTTCCATTCACCTACCCACTCAACCACTTACTCATCCAACTATCCACTTACCCACCCATTCACATACACAAATACGCACGCACACGCTCACACACACACACGGACGTACCTATGCATATATGCGAACATAAATATACAAAGACACACCACGATCACTTATGAATCCGGGATGGCACAAGAGGGCGTGATGCTCAATGAGAATATTACGGAAAGGTATTTTACAATCACCAAGTAGATCATGCCCGCAGCCGAGAACTCAGCCAAACCGGTTTTGGCGCTCCTGACAAAGGGTTTGCGGTTACACCGCAGGTATGCGCACTGGCATTTGGTTTCGTGACCAGACTCGCACCTTGTCTCAAAGATCGATGGCACATGCACACAGACACTGCGGATGCCACCTCCTGAGACACAAACACCGGAGGAGGGGAGAACTGCATGTGAATGCATTGTCTTGAGCTATGTGGTGGTGGTATATATCATGTAACTCACAAACGCCGGGACTTTTAGTGTCCCCGGAAGACTTCACAGATTCCCCAGGAGAACATCTGCCCCGACGAGAGGATGATCCTGGTAAATTCAGGACAAGTGGAAAACCCTACCGCAAAAAGATAAAGATCCCCCGTATAGCCTGCAACAGACTGTTGGGGCAAGTGCTGTTAGCGAGCACCTATGGAAGGCCAGCAATGGCACACGAGGAGGTGGGTGGCCAACACCACGCCTGGCCGCCTTTGTCTTCCTTGAGACAATGTCTTTACACGTAGCATTAGTTACTCAATTGAGGCCGAGTCGACCTAGGGGAGGCCCAGGACCGGTTCAGATAATCGTCACCGGTGTTGGCCGTGCGTGGGAATTTAAATCGGGGTGGCCGGGTTCATAGCGCACCGCGCGAATAGCTACACTACCCCACCCCACCCTACCTCACACGTTTAGCCATACAGACGCCTTTTATTTAGGTTTCATTTCGCCGCAGGTAAAACCCCAGTGGGCAACAATTGTTAATTTTTGATGGGGACCTGGTTACATAAACCTGGTTACAGCAGCAACAACAAATGGACAAGAATGAAACAATCTCCCAAAAAACTGTACCAATTGGCAAGGTCGTGCTGTTCGGGGTAATTGCTGTGAGCGGTGCTCATTTAAAGTTGAATCCGACTTCGGGAAGGTTCAGCGCCGGTGTTAGGCGCGGTTGGCAAATTGAACTCGGCACCTGAACCTAATTGAACGCTGCTTCTCGTCGAACACTGCAAGAACCAGGAGACTTCCGCTCGTCCCCGAGGAGCAATTCACGCACGGTTCTACACAGACGCAGAGATCACCCTTTGAGCCTTATAGACCATCCGTAATGTACGTACATGATGTACATACATTATTTATGTTGATTAAGTGTGACTAACCCAACCATTGATATATATCCTTTGATTTTGTTTATGAATACATTAACCACCCCCACCCCCATCGTCTTCCCACCTGATTGGCTCACAAGTGATGGCGTCACGTTGATCTATCTATTTAAGGCTTTCTTCACAACTGCGGCTGTCACATGATGATGCTAGTTGTAATTACCGGCGAAACGTCGTACTCCAATTGTAAATGTTGTGGGTTTACTCCCCAACACAGCGATGTGCTGAAGTAGTAATTGACATGTTTTGTTTATGCGACAAACCTTACCAAGTGGCTGTGTTGGGTAGTGGCGGGTTTAACGACACATTTATATTTACGCAATCTAATGCTAAAACAACCTCTTATGGATAATGTTGGTCGCGAAAGCCTACTACTACTACGTGTACAACTTATAGACCATGTGGGCGAGGGATCAATTGCAGCCAGAGCTGTCCCAAGGCTGGTGCTGTGGCTGAAATGTTGCATGAGAAATTATGCCAAGATGCGGGCTGAAGCATTTGTACACACACACACATACTCTCCCATATATATATTTTTTTACAAACGATAAGACAAAAATACGCTGGATATCCATAACAGACTTTTTGGGAAAGCGTTATGAGTGAGCACCTATGAAGGCGGGCAAAGTGTGGTAGCTGTCGAGTGTGCAGGCAGTGTGCAACTGCACCAGGGCAGTGAACAGGTTGCTCATGAGACTGCTTGCAAGTCCCGTTTCATTTGTCGCACCAAGAGGCCCCATTCCAACCGCGTGACGCCGCGGCTCGTTACGGCCCTTCAGTCCCCTCGCGTTATAATCGGAGAGGCGAACGACTTTTAAACACCGGCTGTTGGAGCAAGCGGCGGCACAAGACGATGTTTGTGTGCGATGAACGGAGCCGGCCGTTCCGTGCGTGTCGCTCGTGTTTGTGCCGCTCGCAGCTGTGGATTCTCCCGAGCACCCTGGGCAGTCTGTTGCTGCACAGGCGCGCCGACGGGCCCCTGGAGGGCGTCACGGCCTGCGTGTACGGCCTGGGCCTTTGCGCGCTCTTCACCGTCTCCACGCTCTTCCACACCATCTCCTGGAGGAAGAGCCACCTGCAGTGAGGGCCGGGCTGGGCGCACTTGCCATGTCTCTTGCCGTCTAGCTCGCTGTCTTGCTGGCCGTCCCATTCTCTGGCCCGCTCTCTGTCTCTCTCTCTCTCCGTCTCTCTCTCCGTCTCTCTCTCACTCTCCGTCTCACTCGTCATCTCCCTCGCTGTCCCACTCTCTGTCTCTCTCTCTGTCTCTCTCTCTGTCTCTCTCTCCATCTGTCTCTCAGTCTCTCTCTCTCTCACTCTCTCTCTCACTCGTCATCTCTCTCGCTGTCCCACTCTGTGTCTCTCTCTCTCCATCTCTCTCTCCGTTTCTCTCTCCGTCTCTCTCTCTCACTCGTCATCTCCCTCGCTGTCCCACTCTCTGTCTCTCTCTCTGTCTCTCTCTCCGTCTCCCTTGCCATCTCTCCCTCGGTCTCCCTCGTCTTCCCACTTGCTGTCTCTCTCTCTGTCTCTCTCTCCATCTCTCTGTCCGTCTCTCTCTCTGTCTCTCTCTCCATCTCTCTTTCCATCTCTCTCTCTCCGTCTCTCTCTCACTCGTCATCTCCCTCGCCGTCCCACTCTGTCTCTCTCTCCGTCTCCCTCGCCATCTCTCTCTCCGTCTCCCTCGTCGTCCCACTTGCTGTCTCTCTCTCTGTCTCTCTCTCTCTGTCTCTCTCTTCGTCTCCCTCGCCATCTCTCCCTCCGTCTCCCTCGTCGTCCCACTTGCTGTATCTCTCGTATGAGGCTCTCCTGGGGCAATAGTTGGCATTATAATAAATTACATAATTGGCTTTGATTCATCCTACACTTTTCGGGTTGGTGTTATGGTCTGCACAGTTTATTATTGGGGATTACGCGTAGGGAACGTCGCCCTCCTACTGCCAGTCTAATGCCCACATGTAGGCCAGGTTCCGAGTAACCAGGTCCACTGGGCATGCCCTTGGATTGCGTGTCCAGCACTCTGAGACGACCTGGCATTAAGGGTGGCTCTATCAACATCGAATGACGAAGCTATTAAATTATGGTGGTGATGATGATGACGATTGTAGTGATGGTTATTGATGGTGATGACGATGGTACTGATGACGATAGTAATTGTGATGGTAATGATGACTATGGTAATTGTGACGTTGGTAGTGTTGACGGTGATAATTGTGATGGTAATGATGACTATGGTAATTGTGACGTTGGTAGTGTTGACGGCGATAATTGTGATGGTAATGATGACTATGGTAATTGTGACGTTGGTTGTGTTGACGGTGATAATTGTGATGGTAATGATGACTATGGTAATTGTGACGTTGGTTGTGTTGACGGCGATAATTGTGATGGTAATGATGACTATGGTAATTGTGACGTTGGTAGTGTTGACGGCGATAATTGTGATGGTAATGATGACTATGGTAATTGTGACGTTGGTAGTGTTGACGGTGGTAACGATGACAATGAGTAACGGCGACAATGGTGACGATGATGGCAATGATGACGATGGTAATTATGGCGATGGCTGCCTTCCCACACAGGCGAGTGGAGCAGTGCTTCCACATGTGCGACCGGGTCACCATTTACTTCTTCATCGCCGCCTCGTACGCGCCCTGGTAAGGAGTCCTCCGCTTCCCCTCCTTCGCTCTTCTCTCCTTGCTCCGCCCCACACGATCCCTCGATCCCTCGTGTGGGGCGATCGAAGAATGGGGAGGATCCGATTAACGTAAGCTGCTCGATCACCCTGCCGATCATCGGTTCGACGACCCGACTAAATCGGAATGGCGCAGCATAAATAGTTGGGGGAGGAAGAGAAAAAAAAAAATCGTCTCTCGCTCTGTCCCCCACGCGTGCCGCTGGACAGAAAGGGGATGGGGGGAGCTTGGTGGCGGCATCGGCGTCGTCATCAGCCGGGCCACTCGGGCCACTTGGGCCACTCGGGCCACTTGGGCCACTCGGGCCACTTGGGCCACTCGGGCCACTCGGGCCACTCGGGCCACTCGGGGCACTTGGGCCACTTGGGCCACTCGGGCCACTCGGGGCATCGCTCGTAGGGGGTGCGGGGGAGATTCCCGCCGCTCTCGGGAGGCTGCCGCGTGTTCAGGGTCCCCAGCAATCGACGGCGGAAAGCGGTCGACCGTGAGCTTCGGTCGATTCGTCGGCGTATCGTGCCGGGTCCGAGTGCACATTGCGGGCCACGCGCGTTCACGCCGCAGCGTTCCCACCCCCCCCCCCCCCCCCCGCTCTAGCGAGCTCCGTCATTGGCTCCGAGCCGGAGGTGGAAATTCCACATTCCTGTGGCGGGAGTTATTTTAACTCAAGAACAAACCCCCCCCCCCCCCCTACAGAGAGATGATGGGCTCAGTTGCTTGCGTAATAAAAATAATGCATTTGCCAGAAAAAAAACATGTACGTGCATACGTACGAACTTATACGATTGCATGTGCGTGTTGCCAGAGTGTATGCTTTGTACGGTGTGCTCGTGCATTATGTGGAGCTGGCCACCCACCCCCTCGTGTGCCGTGCCGGCCTTGATAGGTGCCACTCGCTAACAGCACTTGCCCCAAACAGTCTGTTAAAGACTATATGGGGGATCTTTGTATTTTGTCTTTGCGTTCAGGCTGAATCTACGTGAGCTGGGCCCATGGGCTGCACACATGCGCTGGCTGGTGTGGGTCATGGCATGCGCGGGCACCATCTACGTGTGCCTGTATCACGAGAGGTGAGTCCAGCAAGGCCCCAGAGCTAGCAGTGAGCCGCGCGTCAACACGGTCCAGTTTGGATGCATGCTGTATCTAATTGTAACTGCATCTCTAAACACCGTCAATCAACCACTTGTTACTACCCCCGCGCCCTCTACTCCTGTTGACCGGACCAGTTGTTTGATATTAGAAACGACAATTGTAACCGCACGTCTAGACGGTTCACAGGAAACAAAAAAGCATTGACAGAGTTGGATACAAACAGGCCAATGGATACGAGAAATTAAGTAAAATTAAAACAATAAAATAAACTTGATCTCTATGCGCATGCAAAGAAATGTCTTAAATCTTGACTTGAAAAAGGTAAGAGACTCGAATGCACCGAGTTCAAGCGGAAGAGAATTCCAGACCCAGCAGCTGAGAAGGAAGCGATGGCCTCGCATGGAACGAAGGTCTATAACCGTGGGGGCGGCTTCGTAAGAAAGAGGGGAGGCCTTCTTTGCCTGAGTGGAGATAACGTGCCGTCGAGTCGAGCGAGATGGGAGGGCAGCGATAGGCGGGGGCAAGACCGTGAAAAATCTTCAAAACAATCACTGCAATCTTGACGTCAATCGAACGCTTGGGAAGGAGGCCAGCGGAGGGGACTGCATAACTTGAATGGTGCAATCGGGTGTCCGTGTACGCGGGAAGCGCCTTGCACTAACTATTAACTAGTTTTACTTTAGCACTGAGCTATGTGGCGCTTTTTGGAAAGTGACCCGGCCACAAATGGTAGCCCAATGAAGTGGCTTATCAATGTGGAAATGTATAGCAGCCAAATGTTCTCGGCGCACGCTGATTCTAAATGTGGAGGAACAAAAAAAACGGACGACCCGGAGAAAAATCCACGCGACCACTGGGGAGAACACGCACACTCCCAAAATACAGGCGTCAGGGTCGGGATCGAACCCACGACCTCCTGCATACCAGGCGAAGTAGTTAACATCTCCTAGCCACCGTGACGTTCGGGGAGGAGACAAATCTCCGCAGGGGTTGGGAGGCACCAGGCGACCACCCAAAGCTGCAGCTCCGGAGACAATCGAGAAATCGAGAAATGCTCCTCGGAGAAGCTGCAGTTGCTGGCTGCGTCACCTGCCAGCCCCTGTTGTCCGATGCTCCTTCTGTCCGATTGTCCACATGCACCCCCCCCTCTCCTTTCCTTCGCTGTTGGCTTATGGCCTCTCCGCAACAGCCCTTTGTCAATTCAGTGGTGAATTACGGCCTTCCGATAGTGTGGCGGTCATTCGGGGGGGAGAGGGGGGGTTGCTTACCACACTTCTCGATACTCGTCAGTATTGGTCCGTGAAGTGGAGAAAGGGGGCAGGACTCTTTCCAATATCACAGCTGCTCCACCACTGAATGTTTATAGGGAAGATAGTCAACTGAATCCCAATTTATCTGGACGCTCTGTGTGGACTGTACAGATGGAAGGGTTTTCGATGCTGCGGTAAAACTGGCAACTACTCCGGCGTTTGTGTATCTGAAACTTTAAAAACAGAATGTGTGAAAGCGTAGCTTGTGTGGATGAAAGGCGAACGACGGAACCTCGGAAATAGTTCTGTGACGTCAACTTCCAGCGGCCGTTGTCTCTTTGCACAGGCCAGAGTGACACAGCTCCCTGAGAGCTACAGCTGCGTGTCAAGCTCGTTGAGACGGAGTCGTTTGTCACATGTCAGTCGAAACAAAGCATCGTGACTCTCAGCGATGGAATATGCATATTTTAAGGAAAAAAACAAAATTAACGTGATGTTCATTTTTGTGTAGTCATTGGTGACTACACCCGCACTTGAACAGCCGTTTTGATCGGGGGCGACTGAAACCCAGAACCGAATCTAGGATCTCGGCAGTCCTGGCCCTCCTGTTTTCCATTGCTCAAGAGTGGTGGAACTTCCACATTCCTACGACGAGGGCAAGTCTACCCGTAGAAAGTGGTACTAATTTTACTATGGGTCGAGAAAACGCGCCCCCAAAACCAGGATTTAAGCTCGTGACCATCCGATTGCGAACTGCTTGCTCTACCACTGAGCCACCATCTGCCCCGGCTCGGTGCTCTCACGTGACATTGCCACACTGAAACCATCCAGCCACTCGATGACGACGATGATGATTATGATGATGACGACGTCCCTGGCCCTGCAGGTACAAGCTGTTGGAGCTGCTGTGCTATGCCACAATGGGACTGTGTCCAGCACTTGTCATCCTCTCATCCGTGAGTGACAGCACATCTATGACTTGCACGCACACCCGTGTACGTGCACGCCTGTGTACGTGCACACCTGTACACGTGCACACCAGGCGGGGAGGGGGGGGGTCTTTGTGACGTTTCAATCTCGACCCTGAGAGAACTAAGGATAGACAGACAGGCAAGCATATGGACAGACAAACAGACAGGGAGGGAGGCCGATAGGTAAATGCAGGCACGGTGGGGAAATGTTAATTACCTCGCCTGGTATACAGGAGCTCGTGGGTTCCATTCCGACCCTGACGTCTGTATATTTGTAGTTTGGATGTTCTCCCCGTGGTCACATGGATTACTTTGGCCAGGTCTATATTTTTTTTATTTAAAGCTTTCGTGACTGCAGTAATTCATATTCTTAGTTCTTTCGGTAAAGTCACGTTGAAGGGAAACAACAAAATAATAAAATATATATAAAACAATAAAAAATTCTCACGACGTTTCGACCATAACACAAACGGTCGTCTTCAGGTGTGTCGGTTTGCATAAATTTAGTTATTTTTAAACGGCGTATTTATTTATTTAAAAATACAATTTAAAAAACGTTAGCGCCACGCGCAGCGATTTGGCAGTTTATTTAGACGGACTAGTCCATCTATGTTCTGAAAAGAGGATGGGGGAGACGACATTTTTTTTTATGTATGCTGTCTGAAAGCCACTGTAAGCGTGAACAATCAATTAAGACCGGAAATGGTTTATCAAATCTTTCCAATGATTGCTAAGCCAGAATCCATCTTCTCGGTTGAAATTGTCTCTGTGCTTGTATATGTGGATAGCCTCATGAACGAATCTCTCATGGTAGCCAGATGGCTTACAAAGAACCTCTGTCTTGGAAAAGTCAATGTCAGGTCTATATTGTAAACTAAGTTAGTAGCTCTGTGGGCTTTACCTGGTAAGATAAAAAAAAATGTTTAGTTTTATTTGTGTATGTATATATTTTTAGTTTATTTGTTTTCACCTCTCCTGTACTTTGCACTCCTATCGTGTTTTTGTATTTTTGCTGTTGTAACGTTCTGATCCCCGTGCCCCGACTGGACATCGGTGGGGAAAAAAAGAGCTTCACAGCTCACCGTATTCCCCCTCGAGTCTGAATAAACTCATTCTGATCCCCATTCTGATCCCCATTCTGATCCCCATTCTGATCCCCATTCTGAATGGGGAAACAAAATCCCGACAGCCGGAGCAGGACGGCGTGTGGGAGCTGGCGCTGGGCGGGGCCCTGTACGCCCTCGGAGTGGTGTTCTTCAAAAGCGACGGGCTGGTGCCGTTCGCGCACGCCATCTGGCACGTGTTCGTGGTGCTGGGCGCCACCGTGCACTACTTCGCCATCTGGCACCATCTCTACGGGCGTGGGGCCGGCGGCGTCGACGGGGCAGCCGCCGAACCGCTCGGCGTGCGCGTCGTGTGGGACTTTTGAAACGGCGGCGGCGGTTTGTTGTGCGCGCGGCGCGTACGCGTGGCGATCGGGACGGTGGGTCGAAAAGTCTTTTGTGGCCTGATGTGTGGGAGGGACGTGACGCTACGGCTTTACTTTTGAGGTGGCAATACCTTCACGGAGGTCGTCACGGTGTCGTGGCAGTAGGATGGCTTGCGTTGTGGTCTTTTTACGGGTGTTTTTTTTTTTTTAAAAACGTCAATGTATAAATATGGAGAGACAGAAACACATTTTGGTTGTTTTCATGAATGTCAAGAGAATCCAGAGACATCTGGAGCAAAAACCCACACTTCCCAGACCTGGCTCACCCCCAGTGCCTTCCACATGTCTCTGCAGGTAAAGATTCACTTGCAGACGAGTTGATGTTCTCGTGACGATGAAGAAACTTGAGCTGGAAGCTCCGAGTAGATTGAGGAGAGAGATGAGCAGCTGTCCTGGCTGGGGATTAAAGCATCGAGTCATCGATGATCATGACGGTGATGACGATGGACCAAGTGCATTGCACTACAACGGAAACGCTGAGAGAAATCGGGCAGGGAAATAATCATTCCTTAAGGATACGAATTGCCAAGTCAGGCCACAAACTTTTCGATTACTCCAGCTTATACAGGATAACTTCTCTTACCCGTGGTGATGCGAGGGACACACCTCCACGGATCCTATTATCCACGGGGTTATGCACGAGTTGACTCCTCTTATCCATGGAATGAAAAAATAACGGATAGCCCCGTGGATATTAGCATGAACGTTTTGCGTGACTCCCAATAATCTGCGAGAAAAATCTCGGACAATGAGGAATAATGGGGTGACATACATTGCCTGCGGATAACCCCGTGGCTAAGAGCATGCACTTGTCATGCAGCTTCCTTTATCCGCACGAAAATAATGGTGACTGTTAGGAAGCAGTTTCACCATGTACCTTGGGTAAAATTGTAGATAGCTGCTGATAATAGGAAGAAATGGCGCCATGAACAATCTATTTTTTTTCACGGACCCTACAGCTGCGGCGGATAATAGGAGTTGCGGATAATAGGGCCGCGGGTAAAAAGGGGTTCTCCTGTATGAATGTATAGCTGCATGGTTGTTTAGAACTTGCCAGAAGCAATTGTTGCTAGTTATGAGGACATACAAGTCATATATATATGGACCTTCCACAAACAGCGCAAGTCACGCAAGTGATCGTGAGATTACAAATCGAGGTGAGGGTGCTGTCATTTAATATCAAATTACTTTTGCCAACAGAATCATGGACCTATGCAGGGTGATGCGTTTATAACACTACGGAGAAATTGTAGAGAAGCCGGCGTTTCATTTCATCGCCGGCAGACGTCTTCCACCAATCTGAACGCACGAGGTTAACTCTCTTAACAGTCTGCTGATACTCCACCTTGTCCAACGTAGCCCATGCGATTAGATTACAACAATGATGCATAATTTTGCATCGCGCGCACACACACACACGGTATTCGATGTGACCACAGCAGATAAAGTCCAGCGGGGCTACGCCAGTGGAGAATGTGTCGGTGAGTTATGTCCGGTGAATGCGAGGGCCACGCAATTTGTTTCACCTCGGACAATCCATTGCACAGGTGTCTCTTGCAACCAGTCGTGCACTGCACCGAGACCAAGGTCATTAGAAATCGGTGGGGTATCTATCTATGGATCACTTTGCATTTGCGGCGGCAGCCTCAACAGCGCAGCTGTCCAGCGTTACTTTCAAAGTCACTGGGAGTCGCCATCGCAGCTGTGACCAGATATTCGCTGTTTCCGTCACTGTGCTCAATGTCCATGATCCCGACTGCAAAAAGGTGTACAAAATGTATTATGTGCCATCACAGTGGATTGCGGTTTACGGAATTAATGTAACTCATAGCTACTGTTCTCTTCCACCAAATAATGCTCAAATAAGATTTTGGTATGCCCAGCAGCCTATGGCGCTCTGTACCAGTTCTTCTCAGCCGCATTTGTTTTCAGCAGGCAAACTCTAAACTGGCTTCGACTTCTCTTATATCACTTTTTCACCATCGCATCTGAGCTGAGCCAGTGCGGGGGCCATCACCGCCACAGTGGTTTTCCCCGCTGGCTATTTGCCGTGACGAGTTGAAACCAAACCCCACGGTCGTGTGGCCTCACGATAAATATGATTCTGGCTTGGGGCCAAGCGGGGCCAAGCAGGGCCAAGGGGCAGGGTTCATCATTTCCATCGTGTTCCTTCATTGTAGGCGACGTCGGCAGCACGGCTCGGATCCTGCAGTGGAAAAACAACGTGGGGCCTCCCCTGTGCCACACCGAGTTGGCTCTGCACAGCTCCACTACGGCCCCGTTGTTGTACAGGGTGATCCAGATGCCTTGTGACCCCCATTTGAGTCTCTAGAACTTTGAAATCTTTTAAAATGAAGGTTTATATTTAAAACAGAAATTAATATGCGAAGGACATATTTTTTAGGGATTAATGTGGGCTTCACAAGACATTTTATAACCATGCACAATAGAACAAGAGGTGTTAAATTAATAATCAGAGTATGGCTTACTTGGTTTATAATTTACAATGTTGCTGTACTGCACTGAGCGGATTCGTGGAACACCCCCGCCTGTGACGACTGAACACCCAGGAGAATCTGTTTAACTGGCCACACCCTGCTAATACGATCCAGAGACGTCAAAACCAGTCCAGGGTTTACTGCTTAAACACCACGATACTGGGAAAAAAATTGGACCACAAAATCCGTAGATTGGTGGACCTAAACGTTATTTACATTTTTATGCGGTGACACAGAATCTCATATTATGTAAAGAAAGTTGTTTGGCCTTTGAAGCCTGTGATCCCTTGTGGGCCTTGTGTTTTGTATAGTGTCAATTTGACATGACATATACTGCTGTATTTGACAGATGTATCGATGGTTAGGAAGTGCGGTAAATCATAGACACCAGTGTTGGACAAATGCCCATGTTGAGCTGAAGGGGATTATGGACGTATTTTTTTTATTCTGAAGGCAAAATGAATGGGAATAAATGTACTCGGACTCCATAGATCTTATTACTACAATTGAACTGGAATATAAAAAAAAATTTCTGCAGGTGTAGGGTGATGCATGCCTGTGGCCCAGCACATGTGGATGCAGGATTGATGGATCACGCAGAGATCATCATATGCTGCCCAGACTCCTTAAACTTGCTGGGCTTCCGGGTGGCCAGGCGATGTCAGCACAGCGAGTTGGTTATTGCCTCGCACGGTGGGGTTTCTCTGGGTACATCGGTTTCCTCTGACAGGCAAAGGATCCTCAAAACACGGAACTGGGAAAACATCCCAAAACAAGGTCCTCCTGTGAGCATATTGTGAGACCCATTGAGGCTCTTCTGGATGAATGGCGTCCTCATAAACGAGGACATAAGTGCGTGAATGTAGCGGCTTGCAGAGAGTGGTGATACATCTTGAGGAAGGGGCAGACGAGCACCAACTACAAGGATGGACACTGAACTAAACGGAGACACCCTTGGTGTCCATACGGAGAGTATTCTATGATACCTGTCGTGTTTTAGGCAGTTCAGAATGTTTTTTTTTTTATACATGGGAACTGAACTGGCCATTCATTTCTTAACTTACATTTTGTAAACGACTAGTATGTATTTGTAAAAGAAAACATGTATTAATTAATATGTGTGTATTTTAAACGGTGAGTTGACGCATTTCACAAGTTGATATTCCTGGTGGTTTAAAAAGAGCGGAGGGTACAGACCTGCCCAGTTTCAAAAAAATGTGGCATCTTGAACAAATCTCGTGGTCATTTGTCCTCACCACCGAGCCATTTTTTAAACGATCCAAGGGTTGAATCCCCAACACAGTTGCCTGGTGATTTCTGGATGATAAAGATTTTTTTTTATGTAACGGTATCGTACAGCTTACTAAAAAATGGTCAAGTAAAAAAAGAATCCACAAAATGTAGCGAAACGTAACCGATTTTATAATTGCGGGATACCCAGATTCTCATTCAGGAGAGGAACAATGATGCTCGCTGGGCTCTCGTCTGGTTAAACGAAGGAGAAATGGGATCACCACACTTTGGTAGGGTGGCTTTTGGCAACTTTAACCAAAAAACACGCACACGTGTGCGCATGGAGCACACTTAAGCACTTATTGCACGCTAAGTCGTGGGATCGATTTTTGAGTTTGAGAGACAAATAGCCATGGGGGACCCACGTGAGGAAGCCAAAGGGACCCCCATGGCGGCTATTGAACAGGGGCACTGTTCTACGACTACGAATTATGGTCGCCCGTGGTTTGAGCTTTGGCTGCCGCGTGAATGTACTGTCTGGTGGTGATATGAGAGCTCTGTATGGACGGGGCAAACGTCGAGCTCTTGCGGGAAACGGATCACTTTTGTAACGGTGGTCAAATTCTTGTTCCTGGCGAACAGGCGTCGCGCCCCCAGCGTGCGAGTGTTAATGTGCATGGAAGGTAACACTTTTATACCACAGTTTATTATTGTACTAATGCACTTTTAACTTTTGCACGCTGTTTTGCAAGAAGAGAAATAGGCTAAAGTAACGTTTGCGAAACAGAATGGCATTCTTACCTTTTAGAGAAGGCAATGGTGATATGTTATAACTGCTTTTATTTAGTTTTTGGAATAAAAAATAAATATGAAGCATTGACAGGTTTGAATCTTGTGAAAATGGGGTGATCGTCAGACCTAATTTCAACTTGGGCCTCTTCTTAGGATCAACTACAAATATTATTGTTCCATGATGATCCTGCTCCATCTTAAATACCTTCCGCTGGGCATGTACATACGATGTTCTCGGGATGGTCCCAGTTTTCAGACTAATCCAAAAATTGAGCCTAGGTACAACAGTTCAGACGATCCTTAAAAAGTTTGTTTCGGTTTGAAACATGGACTCGCAGAGCGCGCGCTGGCCGAGAAAGCATAAATAAAACAAACGAATATTACTGCATTTAAAGTCGTCACTTAATGTTGTGCTCTCACCTCGTTCAAAGTTCACACACCAAAACTATCACCCATTCCTTCAGACGCGAGTGGTTGTTTTTTTGCACGCAAGTAGGGTTGGTGGATCACGTGGAGATTTGTGATTCGCCCCCAAAGCATGACACTGGGCTGCTGGCTAAGGTTGGGGCAGGATGGCGATGGGAGTCGCTGTGTCCTTGAACTCATCTGTGCTAAATGCTCTAAAGACAGTTGAGATGGTTGTGCCCCACTCACCCCCATCACCCTGTGCGACTCCCCAGTCAAAACTGTGGAGTCCTTCCGCTTCCTTGGCACTATTCTCTCCCGGGACCTCAAGTGGGAACTGAACATCAGCTCCCTCACCAAGAGAGCTCAACAGAAGATGTACATCCTACGGCAGCTGAAGAAATTCAACCTGCCAAAGACAATGATGGTGCACTTCTATACAGCAATCATTGCATCCATCCTCACCTCCTCCATAACCATCTGGTACGCTGCTGCCACTGCCAAGGACAAGAGCAGACTGCAGCGTATCATCCACACTGCTGAGAAGGTAATTGCCTGCAATCTACCAACCCTCGAGGACCTGCACACGACAAGGACCATGAGGCGAGCGAGGAAGATTATGGCCGATTCCTCCCACCCTGGACACTCTCTGTTTTAGCTACTCCCCTCCGGCAGAAGGCTTCGGTCCATCAGGACCAAAACCTCACGCCACAAAAACAGTTTCTTCCCAACCGCTGCTGGCCTCTTCAACAAGGCCAAGGGCTTTACACTGACTTTAACATTTTATATACAAAATGACACCTTGCCATATTTACACTATGTTACCCTATTTGTAGTTTTTGTATTTTTAGATTGTATCTTATAGCTACTTATATTCAATATTTATTTAAAAATTTACATACTTTAGCCCCTTAGTGTTAGAGTTTGTACCTTTCGTATAGTTAGACTTGTATACCACTTATTTAAGATTCCTATATGTTGAATGTATGCACCTTCCTGCCAAAGTAAATTCCTTGGCTGTGCGAACTTTCATGGCGAATAAAACCCTTTCTGTTTCTGATTGGTGGGGTTTCTCCGAGTACAATAGAGACCATCCATTTAGTAGGTACGCAAAAATCTGTCAACTTGACCACTCCCCCCTCTCCCTGTACGCACGCGTACTTTTTACCCTACCCCCCCCCCCCCCCCACCGAATCCTATAGAACGGCCGATATTTAATCCACGCAGAAACCATCAAGGATTAATAATATTAACGTGTTTAAGCAAACAGTCCACCGCTGGACTATCTAACTCATTTGAAGGCCAATTTAGTGAAATTATTATCGAGGTTTCACCCCCCCCCCCCCGTTTGCTATGCGTGCGTACATTGTTAGCAGACCCCCCATACGCAAGCGTACGCATTTGGGTTAACCCCCCCTCCGTGTGTACGTACTAAATGGATTGCCCCATACTCTGGTTTCCTCCCATATGAATCTGATCGCTCAAACGTAGCAGTTCAAGAATCCTGCTGAAAATGAGCCTTGAGAGTCGATACGTCGTTCTTGTGGATGAACAGGTTTAATGGCAATTATAGTCGTGACAATTATTGTTATTGCCATCAAAGACCCTCTTGTAGCAGTGTTTCTCAGAGCGTAGTCGCCGCACCGCAACAATGTCTCGTGAGGGTCCTGTGGGTGAGTCCGTTGGGCTACGATGCAAATGCAGGTCGATCCGGAAATGGCAATGTTTACATTTCTTTTCGTCTCGGACATTTAATATATTTAATTTTAAAATAACGTTGGGGGAGCTAGCCTAAATGCCACCACTAAAAAATGTAAAGCTGCATATTTTTTGGGTTTATGTACCGGTAACGTGCATCATTATGTACGACTGGTGTTTAGAGATAAGTGAAAGCTTTTTGTCACCTGGGGTGGGGGGAGGGTGGTTGGGTGGTCCAGGGGCCAAACAAGTTTGAGAAACTGCACTGGTGGTTCTTCACCTTCACTGCTGCAGCCCTGCACCCCTTTGGTTCTCAATCTGTAAGAAGTATGTTAATAAATACATAGGGGTTTGATGAAACAAAGTAGTTGTACGTACGTGCCCATGCTTCAATTTGTCTTTCGATTTACCTTCTGAAAATATATGGCATGTCTCGCACCTCCAGGAGGTGCGTGAGAACCACTGCATTAGAGGGAGCCTCGAGACTAGAAATTCCTCTCGTGGAGACCCTTCCGCCAGCAGTGCACGTGTGCAACCAATTACAGGCCTGAACCTTTACCATATTGTAACACGCATATATATACCGGGTGGTCCGCAAGTAAACTGCCTGATTTGTGTTGCCTATAACGTTAGAAAAATGAAATTAAACACAAATACAAAACGATGGAATATGCTTTAATTCACGGAGATTATGGATGAAAAAGAATATCTTGTAAATGACCGCCTGCGGTGTGTTGGCAAAAATCCGTGCTCTTTCAACGGCATTTTCCATCACCCTCCGTGTCAAGAAAGCACGCGGGTACTCTAGGCGGCTTCAACGGTCTCTGGGCTGCAATTCTCCCGCGCACCGGCTGAGTCTTACATGGAAAAAGATGCAAGTCCTGGACCCAAGATTCGCCACAGCGGCCGTCGTGCGAGCCCCATTTGAGTGGTGCAGCGTCTCCTCGTCGAAATTTCGAGGTGCTCATCGACACTCTCCCTTAACTCGCTCAACAGAAGTCGGAGATCGACCGGTTCGAGGTCTGCCAACACAACGCTTGACATTCAGCGTCGTTCCCGATTGCCGGAATCGGAAGATCAACGCCCGAATACGGTGCCGATTTGGAGCCTTTCGGGTCTATATAATATCCGCGATAGTCTCCCTGTGTTGAAATAATTTAACAATTGTGTCTGAAATAAACGTCAACTATTCTTCCAAGATACTGAGACATACTGGTTCATCATATACATTATTTCTGCAAAAAAATGTACACAAAGTACCACTATTTCAAATCAGGTAGTTACTTAGGGCCCACCCTGTACATATATTTGCACATATACGTACGCTTATTATCAGGTGTGATTTCTTAACAAACGTTTAACTTGAGAATAGGGTTTTCCCTTTTTTCTGGCAACAAAACAGCTGTGTTAAGTTGTTAAAACACCAAACAGAAACATTTGACAAGGAATCATGTCCGCATTAACCACAATACTTGTGGTCAGAATGCAAACAAAAAACAAACTCTGATAATATATGATGCATTGTCTTTGAAACTGATTGGTCCACACCAGAGACAGCTTTCTTTTGAGCCTCGTCTCAAACGGTGTTAGACCAGAGGACGCCAAGAGGCGTACAACGTTTAACTTGTTTCTTTTGAACTTCTGTCGTAATACTTTTCGATAGTTTAAAGCGTTTTTTTTACTGTATCTACGAATAAGTAACTTTTCATATGCAAACCTGAAAACAGTGCAACAGGAAAACATGTCAAATTGTATTTCTGTTAGGCTCCACGGTGTAACCGTGCAGTCTTCAACTCTTATTATCCACTCAATCTCTCTGGCCTCTCTATGCATGTGCTATGAAGTAAGGTCATTACCCGAGCGCCGCCGATCAAATATATATTTTGCTTATTTAAGGACCAGTGTTCTTGGTGAACGTGTTGAGCGTGTGTTGTCTGTGTGTGCTTCTTGCACCGCTTGCCCTCCGCTGGGAATCCAGCGGTAGCGCCAAATCGTTCATGAATCTGTGCAGAGCCGCATTTGACCACGAGGCGGCCGCGCAGCCACGCGAACACGCGTGGCTTCGAATTGCCTCTCAACGCGTTGCACTTGCGTGACTCATTGATTTCATCTCAAAGTCGAACACGATTCGATTCTTTTCGTGCGACCTGTCGCGGTTGCAAGGGGCCACTTTGACCTCTTTGGGCGTGGCCCATCCGTAGCGCGTTCGTCCGCTTGTTGTAAAGGGTTCACGGTTCGAATCCAACGGCTGCCCTGGTAATTATTAATGCGGGTATAATACCCATATACCAGGGGTTCTTAACGTGGGGTGCACGCACCCGCTGGGGGTGCGATTTTCCCTTTCTGGGGTTGCGAGACATGGCCAGATTTCGTTTCGAAGGTAAAAAAAATCGAAATACAAATTTAGCACGGGCACGTTCAGTACAACTACTTTGCTTCATCAAGCCTATGTATTTATTAACATCATTACATTATTTTTACACGATAGAGAACCAAAGGGGCGCCAAGGCTGCACTGAAGGTTTAAGAACCACTGCCGTAAAATAATCGAACGCGCCGTCTGATTCACAGTGGACATTCATGAGCTTGCACGTCATTGCTAATAGGAGGGCATTGTGTGCTGGCGCCGTGGTCCATATTTGCCAAATGAAAACATTAATTTCAAAGTACTCCATCGGAATACCTCCGATTAAGCACGGTTGGCTACGCATTGTGCGAAAGAAGTTCAATATCCATACCTACAATCATCGCTCCCGACTGCAAACAAAAAAAACTTGTCACGAGACTCTGAGGCTTTCCTGGTTGAACGAGCATGACCGTGATCGTGATGGAATGCGTACGAGTCGTAAGAATCGATGTTTCCCCCCACACGAGTTTCGATTGCGACTTGAAACGCACTGGAATGTATACAAGCAGCAACACACGACACCGGGCATCGACTCGGCGGGCACACATAGACATGGTAGGAGGAGTGGTGGAGCAGTGGCATGAATGGAGCGGTTCCACAAAGTCCGATTCACGCCCACGACTAACATCAGCGGTGAGTGGACAAGTATGGTCAAAAGGAATTCCCAAAACGGCATGGGGGAGGCCTTCATCCAGCAGATCGTAAGCGCTGGCTGGGTATATTAAAGGCGCATTAATGAGGTGTGTTTGAAGAATCTAAGTTAAAACAACAAGAGTAAATTAAATAAATGAACACGCTGTGGGCAATAACCCGCGAGGTCCGCGATGTTCCTCTGGCACTGTGCAGCACTCGTGTCGTGGCGATTTTATTCGTT